CCACACGTGAGCACAAGCAGGCAGCAATCCTTGCAATGTTGGCGTTTGGGAAGGGGAAGGGGCATGCTCAGCAGCAGGGGTGAACCAGGCAGCCACCCACGGCCTGGACAGAAAGGGAGCCTGAAAATGGACATTTAAAAATTATTATTACCTTAAATCTCTGACAAAGAGGGGGTGGGGGGTGATATTAGAAGTTTGACCTGGGGCTGCCAGGACGGTGCTGCTCCACTGAGCCCTGCTTTCCTGCTTTTGATTTTTTGTTACAGCCTCCTCCTTTCCTACCCCCTTTATATAGCCCAGAAATATTTGCTCTTTAAAAAAATGTTTTTTTTAAATCACCCGCCCTGCTTCAGGGATAGAAACTCCCAGCCCAGCTAGATCTCCCCAGGCCTCTGACAGCCAACAACCTGGGGTCTGCCAGCAGCACTGAACTACTGAGCTCTCCCCAGAGCTGGGGTGGGAGCGGGGCAGCCACTGCAGCGGCTGCATCGGTCCCACTGCCACCGGGAGGAGCTGCCAGTGGTACCCCGTGTCAGGGCAAGACCAGCCCCACTGTTGCCCAGGCTCACTCGGCCGTGGAGCCGCGGGGCGGGGCAGGGCAGGGCGGGCAGGCGAGGGGGCCGTTGCACTCCCTGCGCGGCCCCTCGCACTGCGCACGCAGGCTCGGGCAAAGTGCGCGCGCACAACTGGACTTCAGAGCGGCGCGACCTAGGGCGGCAGCGACGGCCCCCGACGGCCGTTCTCCCCGCTCCCCCCGGCCTCCGGGTGGATACGAAGTAGACGGAGAGGAAGATGAGGGCGCAGCAATCAATGAGCGAGAAGATGAAGACGACGGACTCCATCCCGCCGCCGGCACCGCCTTCTCTCCCTTCCCGGCAACCGTCCGCACCCCTTCCGCTGTCCCTCCCCGGAAGCCCCGCCGCGCCCCGCAGCTTGATGGGAAACGTAGTCCTTCTGCCTGCCTGGCGGCTCTGCGCTGCCTAACACAGCTCCGGGATGAAAGGGGAGAAGCCCTACGGTAAACCCCGCCCCCAGCTGCTGCGCTAGGGCTGTTAATAAAGTTGGTCGCTTTCAATAGGCTTTAAGGGCCTGGGGTGGTTTAGGTGTCTTTAGCGTTGCCTGCGCAGAAAGGGCCCAGCCGCCGTCTGCTTGCGTGCGGCTCTGGTGCAGGCGGTGTGGTGGGCAGCTACCCCCTGTCCAGGGCCCTGCGGCTGGCCCGGATACAGCAGGGCCATGCGGGGCCGCGCGGCAGGCTCTGTTGACCCCAGGCTGAAGCAGCGGATCAGACAGGTACCGTGGGCCGGGCCGGGCAGGACAGGACCAGCCCATGTGCGGCGTGGCGACCCCTCGGGCGCCCTTGGTGCGGGCGGGCGTTGGGCTGCACCGCTCTGTGCTGTTACAAGGGGGAGGGACCCGGCCCGGCTTAGTTCGCCTCGGCTCGGCTGCCTTTCCCCGGGCAACACGGGAGGGGCCGCGGCCTGGGCGGTGACGCGGTGCCTGGCAGCCAATCGCGGACCAGAGATTTGGCGTTTCCAAGGCAACGGAAAGTGAAACCTCGCGCTGGCCGTTGGCAACGGTTGAACGTGAGCTATAGGGGGGTGGGGCTGGCGCCCTTCCCAAGAGCGGGGCTCTGTGACCCGCCCACAGCGGGTGCAGGGGGAGGGGCCGTGTACAGACAGGCTTCCTCAGTCTGCCTGGCCCTGGGTGGCAGCAGTGCATAGGGCAGCCCTGATTGGTTGCTCCAGACTGGGCAAAGTCAGCCTGGGGCTCCCTGCAGGGGAGTGTGGGGGTGAGAGGGGGCCTGTTCTCGTAGGCACTAGAGCTGCAGAGTCCAGCCCCTGACAGGCTTGTCTCCCTGAAGGACCCTGTTCTCTCCTGAGAGCAAATGCCTGGACAGGCTGGGGTGCTATCTCAGGAGAAACGCTCCTGGGAGTGATTTAATCCTCGTGGCTTCCAGGGCACCTTTCTCCTGGAGCAGCTGTCCTTACTCTTGGAGACAAAGCCTGAACATTTGTATACTTGCGTCTTCTGGGTGAGCAGCGACTGTCCCAGGAGAAACTGAATGGGTGTAGGCATTACGGCTTGAGAATTACTGATTTGAGGGGCTTGGACCAATGTTCCCTTTCTCCAGGTAGCATCCCTGATCCCTCAGAAGAAACCACAAGTATACAGAAGTTTGTAATTTTTCTCCCAGAGTAAAAGTGGCCAATCGGGGAGAAAAAGAACTGGGGAATGACCCAAGTGAAGGGACTCCCTGTAGAATATCTTTTGAAGGGACTCCCTGTAGAATATCTTTTGAAGGATCCCCCACCCAGTGTTTTTGGCTACCCAGCACTGAAGTACTTGGGGGACATGTTCTACTCTGGGCTTGTTCCCTGCCTGAATCACACTGCAGCACTTGGGAAGGTGCCACCATAGTCCCTGTCCAGCTGCAGCTGGGCTAAAACAGTGCACAGAGAGGGGAAGGTTGGAGGGCTGTGCACAGCACAGACCCTGCCCCTACCTTCCCCAACTGACAATCCCTGCCTACATTCACTTAAACAAAAACAAACACTACAAAGTTCTTCTGGGCTGTGTGCTTTAGGGACCCTTGGTAGCACAGCATCCACACTGCGGGCTCTTTCATTCTCTGTTCAAATGGTATAGGTCAGGTTTTCTCTCAAGAAAACAAACCTGTGAGAGTTGTACTGGAAGACTTGTGTATGCATCCAAGGAAACTTGAGATGCCTAGGGAGTTAGTGAATTGGAGAAGTAGTTCCCAGGATTTTGTTGGTCATGTATGATCCCAGGGAGATATAGCTTAATGCCACTAAACTTTCTGAACACACCTTTCTGTGGAACTCTCCCTAGCACTTTCAGTGCTAAATGCATTGTTGCACTGTTGGGATTAAGTATCACACTGCCATCTGTGTTTTTTGGGTGAGGAAGGTAGGTATAGGGAGACAGTGGCTATAGACAGATGTTCATATCTGGCACAAACAATTTCTGCAAAATTCTTAGTGCTGGAAAAAGAGGTTGGGGTTGCTACATAAATGTGTTCCAGCCTCCTCCGTGGAAAGCTGTGCAGATGCTCTAAATGTGAGCTTTCCAACTAGGGGCACTAGAAGGCTGATTCTGGTTTTCTCCCCTACCCCTGGAGGAGCCATGGTTGACAGTTTGTCCTCTCCCCTGCTAGGGAAAGGGGCAGGCTGTCAATAAGCAGCAGGCCACTGCTGAAAAGCAGCAGCTCCTAAAGACAGCTCCACACCTTATAGGGGTAAAAAGGGTGAGGAAAGCAGTTCTCCCCATCCTTCATGCCCCCTGCTCCTTGCACAGGCTTGTCTGTGCAAGGGGTGGGGGAGCACTTCCCTGAAGTTCAGTCACCCTGGTCTGGGCAGGGAGGATAAAAATCAACAATTAAAAAAAAAAAACGAAACCAAACAACAGATTTTTTTTTTTTATTTAAATCAGATTTTTATTTTATTTTTTTGTTAAGATGCTTTTTTTGAAAAAAAAACAAAAACCTTTTATAAAGATAGCTTTAATTTAAAATGGGTTAAAGCTCAAGATATCATCATGGAATAGGTATTATAACTTCCGAGCCCCCAAGGTCTGGAACAGCCTGCCACCGGAGGTGGTTCAAGCGCCTTCATTGAACACCTTCAAGATGAAACTGGATGCTTATCTTGCTGGGATCCTATGACCCCAGCTGACTTCCTGCCCTTTGGGCAGGGGGCTGGACTCAATGATCTTCCGAGGTCCCTTCCAGCCCTAATGTCTATGAAATCTATGTAATTCTATATTATTTGAGACTATATATTCATGTAATATTTTTAGAAACGTTTTATAAATAGTTCACAACAGACCATGGACTATATTAGGGGCCCAATCTTATGGGGTTCCCAGAGCTCCTATATAGTTTCTTAAAGATTAAAGAAAACCACTTTACCCAGTGGGACTCAGTGCTCTGTCTAGAAGATCCCATTAAACACCTCTGTGTTGCTTAGTTTCAGTTCTCAAACTGTGGATTTGTCTCCAGAGATAACACCCTTGTTAACAGCAGTATATGGAGATCAGAGATAACAGACCTGATTACCTACCCATCAGCTCTCTTGTCTCTCTGCAAGTTTGTGCACACAGAGTCAAGCCCTTACCTTACCTTACCAAGCCCTTACCTTAGAGAGATCTAAAAGTGCAAAGTTTCAAGAAGTTAAATGAATAAAGGATATCAAACAACAAGAATGCACTTTTTGTAGCAAACAGTGATTTACATCGAGACTTCCTGACCAGTGATTTAAACCAAGATTTAAATCATGATTTAAGTTGACTTGATTTAAATCAAATCCACCCTGGCAGGGGGCAGTGGGGTGGGAATCAGCACCATCACTTGAACAGTGTGGGCACCATTCAGACAGCTGCAGCAAGGTCCCCCCAGGGCTCCCTGACAGCTTGTCACTGGGCAAGCTGTCAGAGGCCAATGCTTTCCCTCCCTCCTTGGAGAGGAGGCAGGGGGGAGGGAGAGAGAGAGACCAGAAGACTGGGACTGTGGGGATACTCGACCCCGAAAGAAGCTTACAGCTAGGTGTTCAAGCTGAAGTTGGAAAACTTCTCAGGAAAACTTCCTGGTCAGAAGAGTTCCCATGTGTTTTGTGGATGAGTCATTATTTTTTTCCCCTAAGTAAAACCCATTGAGTGAGTACCTGCAAGATAGCTCTGTTCCAGGGGAAAGGTGTTCTCGCGGCACAAATGTAAGGCCTGTCTGTAGTGAGTTGCTTGTTAGAGATTTCACAGGAAGTCTAGTAGAACCAGTGATTTTGACTTCTCAGTGCACTGCCTTGGCTGCAAGACACAGTGAGTTGAGGTCACTGGTATTTAATCAGCTAATGGTAACGGTCAGTCTAAAAAATATAGCTTGCTCTGTTTTTCCTGTAAAGGCAGCTAGGTGGCTGTCAGTAGTGTTCCATCTAATTCTTATCAGTACAAACTATCTGATGATTTCTTGTGAAACAAGTTAATTTAGCTTCTCCTTTCTTAGCTTGCTTTCTCTAATTTTGGGGGGATAATTTGTAAAAGTCAGTTGCTTCAGTGGAAAGGCTATAAAGTTTTTTTTTTTGGTTTTTTTTTTTTGGTTTTTTTTTTTTTTTTGGTTTTTTTGTGTGTTTTGTTTTTTTTTTTACTTCTTCATTTCAGTATTTAATTAGTAATAAATGTGGCCAGTACGTGGACATTGGTGTGATAGCAGCTGATTTGCAGAAAACGTATAGGTAAGCAAAAAGTTTAATCCTTACTTTGTTCTTTATAAAGTATATAAATAATATATTTTTATTCATAACTTGCACTGTAAAAAATGTACATGGAGTATTTCCCTTGGATGGATGGCCTCTTGCATTATTATAAAATGAAACTAAAAGTTAATTAAATGTCACTACTGGAGGGAAAAATACAGATAGACAGATACATCATTTGCACTGTTAAGTTATCTCTGACTGATGTATAGCACTACCTGCACAAATCAGAAATAGGTACATGTGCATCAAGGCTGTTCCAACGTGCTTTAAGTGTAGTACGTTGGAGCATAGTAATAACCATGCTCCGGCATCATGTGTATCAGCATCCCTACACTGAGAAACAACAGCAGAGGCACTTTAAAACTCATCAAACAAGCTTTAGTTAAAGCACCCCTGCCTCCCTTTTTCAGTGTGGGGATACTGATACACGTGATCTTCTTGTGGCCACTCTAATTAAATCACCCTTCCCCCCACCCGCCCCCTCCTGGAGCACATGAATAAATGTCCTATGAGTCCCAGTCATCACTCATGACTGTGGGACTGAGCACCTTACAAACCCATAACAGAAAAATGGTCCCCACACTGAAAAGCATGAAAAAGAACAGGTAGATAAAGGCAGACAAGGGAGCACAAAACAACTGTAAGAATACTATTGGTCAGTGCAATAGGGAAGAGTTTGTGCGCCAGTCGCCCAACCATTTTCAAAATTTGTTGATTTGAGCCCCAGCATAGAGTTAAGGAAGATTTCAAAGAGGCAAAGCAGCAGCTTTGCATATGATTACAGGGTTCTTTGTGGGGAAGTGTTTAACTTGTGGTTTCAGGCATGCCTAGCCTGACAGGCTTGATTTTTAATGTTGTCCATCGGTGTCAAACATGGCCTACTGAGCCATGTCTTCTGTCCCACAGATCTTTTAGAGGGACTGGGAATTTGGGGTGGGAAAAGTAGGGCAGGGCTTGCTGCTGAAATCCAGGGTATGGAGCTCCTTTGGGGAAGGAAGCTCCATGGTCCAGACCTGGCTTGGAGTGGGGCAGATAGGGGTTTACAGATGAGTTTAACGTCCTTAGCTCAAACCCAGTGGCAGTTTAGCCTGACCTTGAAAACTCTGCTGACCTTCTAGGTATGAAGTTAACCCTGCCCCTTGCCCCTTCCTTTCTACACTGGGTCTGGAACTTACCTAGATGCTTCAGACCTAAGAACTTAGAGTCTGCCAGCAGTAATTCCCTGCTACTGTGTTCTGGTCCTTCTGCACTCGTCTCCTCTCTCTGCAGACAAGAAATGTTGGCAAAGTAGTTTGTATTTTGGGAGGGGTTTTTTGAGAAGCATATAAGAGGACTGTGGGTTATGTCTATCTCAGTGCTGTCCTCAAGAAATAAGCATGATGTTGCCAGCACAATTGTGAAGGCAAGGCAAGATGTAGATGGGGAGGTGGGGTGTGTCACAGGGCTCCAGCTAGATAAGAAAGACCTCAAAGTCTACTCTTAGTATCAGTGTCACATGCTGTTAGTAGAAGGAAATCTGACCCCTTAGCCATGAAGTTGGGAGATCATGTTTATTGCTTAGGATGAAAGAGACTGAATTTTTCAGTACCATTCCAACAAAAAAAATTCAGTGGGTCAACTTGGTGCTTGTGAAAGTAAAGGACAGGTCATCATCATTTTCTAGATTGAGGTACCATGTTGTACATGATTTCTCATCCTAGTCTTTTATTGTGCCTTGGTCTTGACTAATGGACTTTTCTTTCCAGTCTCTAATCATTTGTATACCTATGTGGAGTTTAAAACAAACAAAGCCAGTTGTGTATTGTGGAAAGAGGTCCATTTGACTGGCTCTTGTATTGCCTCTGCTCTCTGCATTCAGCTGAGTAGGCTGTTGGTATTCTGTATTTGAATGTTCCTCTAGAGCTCAGTAGCTAGAGGCCACTGATTCAGCTTTCACTTTTCATTCCAAAAACTGAGCATATTATGTTGCTATTTAAGCTGCATCAATCACTTGTTTTCTTAACTTTAGTATGAGCTATTCACATCTTATGTTTTGCATAATTTATTCCCTTGACCACTCGCATGAAAGCGACTTGAAAACAATGCTAAGAATGATGGTATATGGGAGAAGCCCTTAATGGGAGCCTAATCTATGCAATTGTTTTGCAGTGCAGAGTATGGACGAAGGAAAAGAAATGCCTTTAGAATACAGGTTGAGAAAGGTACGTCTGCCAGTATTGTCTCTGAAGGACCAAGGATTTGTAAAAAAACAACTCGCTGTGCAGCTGTTAAGAATAAGACAAAAGCAAGTTCATAGATTTCATAGACTTTTTAGAGTTGGAAGGGACCCTATTAGATCATCGAATCTGACATCCTGCTCTACGCAGGAAAGACTGCTGGGGTCAGATAACCCCAGCCAGGTATTTGTCATTGAAAGTATTCTCTTGTCAAAAAGGAGAATCTTTATGAAACAAACATTTTGGGGGATTTACAATATAAGCTCGGAAAAATTAATAAAAATGAAAGGGGTTTTTCTTTGGCAAAAAAATTCCATTTTCTAAAACAGAAGTTTTTAATTAAAAGAAAACCCTCAAAACATTTTGACAGAAAGCGCTCTTCTGGGCCTAATAGAGATGGAGGAATAACCTCTATGGATATTAAGCTGGAAAGGTGCATAAAATGTATTTTAAAGGAACTTTAAAGAGTACTTTAAAGGAATGTCTTTGTCTAAAGAGCTTGTAACTAAAATATAGTTATTGCTGGAATGATTAATTAAGAAGGATCACACATGACACACACAACAGAAGTTTCATTACACTGAATACTTTTGAGGTTAGGATTACACATTTGCTATGTCAGTACATTTTTCTATATATTTCAGCAACATATTTAAAAGATTGTATCCTTTACTGTTCAGCCAACAAACATGGAGTTTAGTTTTAGGGTATCTGGATCAGATAGTAAGGTTTGAACAGACATGGGGAGAGTGGCTACAATAGAGTTAGGTTGATTTACAAGTTCTTATGTTCTTGTATTTTTCCTTCAGTGTTTGAGATAATCTGTAGTGAGAATGAATCTGAGAATTTATCAGCTTTAGAAGATGAACATGTAGCAAAAAGAGCAAGACACAGACGAGAAGAGAATGAGTAAGTAAGAGATTAGTTATCGTAAGTGTACTTAATATTGATGCTAATAGGTAGCATTCTTCTAGTGTTTTGCATCTTCGAATCACTATAAATCCTTCAGGGTGAAAGGAATTGATGTTTCTTGCACCCTTGCAGGCCATGTCTTTATTAGGATTTAACTTAAGAGCACTTTTTTTGCAGTAAAGACAAAGCAGTTATAGTTTTCACGTACATTAGCAGATCAAGTGTCAGTGCAGTAGGGGAGCTGAGGCACTAAGAGGTTGTTACTTGCTTAGGGTCACATAGGAAGCCTGCCGCAGAGCAGAGAATTAAACCCAAGTCTCCCAAGCTTTGAGCTAAGGCCATTAAAGACATGGCTCGTAGGCCACATCTGGCCCATAGAACCCTATCGTCTGGCCTGCAGTTCTGCCTGCGTGTATTCAACCGGCATATCACATGCAGCATGTGCTGGCCCTGGCCCAGTGTGTGGAGCCCCTCTAGCATTTGCTGTGCATGGCGCCTGTGCACTGCATCTGAGGCTGGTTTGGCGTGGCCTGCCCATAGTTTCATAGTAGCTAGGGTCAGGAGGGACCTGAACAGATCATCTAGCCTGACCCCCTGCCACAGGCAGGGATGAATGCTGGGGTTACCAAAAAAAAAAAAAAAAAAAAAAAAAAAAAAAAAAAAAAAAAAAAAAAAAAAAAAAAAAAAAAAAATTTTCGTGCGCTCTGATGTAAAAAAAAAAAAAAAAAAAAAAAAAAAAAAAAAAAAAAATTGCCTTCTGATCTCCAACCTAAACCTATTCTCCATCAGCTTCTTACCATTGTTCCTTGTCACCTCAGGTGGTGCTGGGGAGAAAAGGGCTCTACCTATTTGCTGTTGATCTCCCCTGATGAGTTTGTAGACAGCTGCCAGGTCCCCCCTCAGCCTCCTCTTGCTGAGGCTGAGCAGGTTCAGCCAACAAAATCAAGTCCTTCTGCCATCTCTTAGGCACCAGGAGAGGAACCCTTTGGCTCTGGCTCCAACACAGCATCCTGGCCCTTTCCTGTACCAAATTATTCTGCTCACAGATTGCTTCCACCTTTCTTGCTTACAGTTCTGGAAGCTTTTTAATGCTTCTAGCAGGATAGTCCCTGGCTAACCAAAAGCTCCACAGATGGACTCTCTCAACAGGGCTACCCATTTCCTGTTAAAGAGACAGAACAACCTGTTACACAGAGTCTACACTGGCTCCCAACAGTTTCCTGGGTAAAATTCAAGGTGCTGTTTCTGACCTATATGGCCCTAAAGTAGGGGTGGCCAACCACAAGTAGCACAGGCAGTCTGTGTGGGATATGCAGCAGATTGGGGAGGGAACAGGCAGCACTGATGATGCAGTGAATGCTCCACACTGGCCCGTATGTGGCGCCTATGTGAGACCAGCCTATGTGCTGGATCCAGGGCCAGTAGATTAGCCCTACAGGCCAGATCCAATGTGCAGAGCGAGTGTGGCATGGGTGCTACAGGCAGCACATGCCACAGACTGGCGCCATGTGCCATGCATACGGCAGGGAACTGCGGGGCCACATAGGAAAGCTGCTTGCCTCTGCAACCACCATGTAACCACTCTTCCCCTGCAGGTGTGGGCAGCATCGAGCAAACCTGTGCTGTTGCCTGTGTGCACACAGGGGAAGTGTGGCCGGGGCAGCACGGAACTTGCAGAGGCAAGCAGCTTTCCTGTGCGGCCCCGCTGTGTCCTGCCATGCCGGGTCACACACTGCACTGCGGAGGCCCTGGGGGAGGGCAACAGGGTGGGGAGCACAAGCCTGCAGCACGCACCCGCCCTGCCCCCACCCCCTGCACAGATATGGGGTTGCGGGTCCCCCTTGTTCCCCAGGAGTGCATGCTGCAGCTAGGAGCCCCCGCTCAAGTGGGGGAGCCAGCTCTGTGCTCCTGCTG